GAGACATGGCTTGGGGACCCGAATATGGTGGCGGCAGAATTGTAGACCTCTTGAATTACCCGCTCAGCTCCTTCTCGTACCTCCCGCTTCTCGGAAGCGAACGACTCTAGGAGGGCATCCGACAAAATCCGCGTGTCAACAAAAAGCGGCCCAGCCCCTGAATCGACGTTGAAAGGGGTGGTGGATCTCTTGGAGTCAACCAATGCACGGCCCACCTCGATGATAGTAAAATGCCGTGCAAGGTTCAAGAGGAATGCATCAACCTCAGGCTTGAACTCTGGTAGCGACAGCGCAAACATGAGAGCCTTGATCAGCCTCTTCAACTCTCCTTCATCCTCGTTCTTCTTGGCGATGGAGCGATCGCGGTCAGAACCTTCGAAAGCGGAAATATCGATATCCTTTCTCCTGTTGATAAGATCTTGTGCTTGGAGCCTAAGAAGGCGAGGGAGATCCTCAGGCAGATTGTCAAATCCCACGCGCAGCTTCACCTGAGTTTTGATGAAATGGAGCGCCTGCCTCTTGTAGTAGGCGTCCTGCTGCTTGGTAGGTGCAGCCGACACTCCCTTCATGAACCGCGGCACCTCCATCAACTTCTGAATTGCCAGATCGATGCCATAATGTGCCGGGAAAGCTCTGTCAATCTTTGAGCCAATTAGACGAATGTCGAAGCTGGCCACGTCATCGGCAAACTGGCGATATTTGACAGGGAGAGCGTCCGTCATGAATTTTCTGTTTCGGCCGCCTAGCTTGCCAAGAATTCGCAAAGTCGTGTGTGCATGGAAATGGTTATAGGGGTGTGGCTTGAGATGGTCGAAGAGGGCAGCCATCAGCTCGTCAATAACCGGTGCCATAATTGGATCCAAATAGTCCGCGGTCAGGTTATCAACGCAGAGTTCCAGAGTACGCAGGCCTTGACCGACCAGCTCGGTCCCTGCGCGCAAAGCCACCACAAGAGGCCTCATAAGGTAGCTAAGGTGGGGAAGAAGATTGCTCAAGCGTGCTGGGACCGTCAGACAAAGCTCGACATAGAGGTCTCGCTCTGTCGGCTTGCGAGCCGCTAGGAGCAGATTGTTGAGAACGTCCAAAAGCATCTCCAGGAGAGGCAAGATCTGCTTGTAAAGGTGCTCGAACTTGCCACCACCAATACTCCTAAACAGAGACCTAAGCAGAAGGAAGTAGTTCATCGGTTCCTCTGCCTTTGTCGAGAGTTCAATAGACTTGGTGATGATGTCAACCACATGCGGAAGCAAAACCTGCTCATTTTGGGCTGCAAATAGAGTAACAGCCATAAATGCCAACTTGAACAAACGAAGGAGGATGGCCGACTTCTTTACATCGGCAGAGCCCACATCCTCGATCCGCTCCATCAGAAAGCGTAGAAGCATTCCGCAAAAGCTAGGTGATGTCGCCTCGCTCGCCAGGAAAAACTGAGGAATTTGAAGAAGGGCAGTGTGCTCGTGAATCATGTCGTACAATCGTGGGATCTCTTGCTGGAAGACCTCGTGGAAAGTCGCGGGGTCCACAACGTGGAAGACCGTAGCGAATGTCTCGAGGAGGTCTTTCTCCTCTTTTGTGAGGGAAACCATGAAGAAGTTTGCCATGTACTCGACAGTGGAAGTGAAGGGTGACTCGGCTGCGGGTTTCTCGCTATCGTAGTAACGGAAAACGTAACAACCCTCACGGAAAAGCTTGACGATAACTTCAACCTCCTCAGCAGTGAAGCCGTAAGCAACATCAACCCAGTGCGCGGGTGCGTTGGCCAGATCTGGCACCGTCGTCGGATTGCAGCTCTTCAGTTGATAGAAAGTGTTCTTCAAGCCCGTCATAAGGTTCTTGAACAGAAACTTGTTGTCAACGACCGGATCGGCAGCACGATCCCGAGGGTTGGAAGTCTTGATGGGCATCGCAGAGAATATGTCAATTTCGTCCCACTGCGGAGGATGCTCCTTATCGGCCAAATACGTCTCGGGCATGTTGTCGGCAGCTTGCTGGGCGTACAGCTTTGAAAGTTTGACCGCATTGGCGTACTGCTTGTTCATGGCAGCGAACTTGTCGGCAATGGCATTGAGAATCATCATTAGGTAATGTCGCGCATCGACCTTGTTCGGTAAGCGGGCTATACATTCCGCCATATTAAGTAAAAGCTTCGCGCTCATGGTTTGAAAACTGGTGCCGGGGAAGTTGTCCTGTAGGTTTCGCGTATAGACCTCGACTGTCTTGCGAATCTGATCAGGAGTAAGACTGTCCCTTACGTGATGAATGAGGTCGGCTAACATGCTGTACGCCAACGGTCTCATGGTCTCGTATACCGTCAGGCCATCGCCTATCAAGGTACGCTCGTCCAACAGCTCGTCGATCTTGGGCAAGAAGATTTTCCTGAAGTTGAAGTTGATAATGTGGCGAATGGCGACAAGCAACTCCTTGCGCGCGCCCGACTTCTCTCGCGGACAGTCCTTGAGAAGCCTCACTATGATCTCTGGCAACGACATGAGAAAATCCGACAGTTGACTGGAGTATGATCTTAGCAGGTAGGCTAAGAAACTCATGGTCTTCACCTGGGCGGTGATGAACTCCCCATATGCCACCCTATTCTTGATGTTGGGGCTAACGCCGGTATGGATGGTCCCTCTAGCCGCAGCGTCCTGGTGAGCCTTTTCCTGCGCTTTTGCCTGGCAAAGCAGCACCGACTTGATGAGGGGAACAAAAAGCTTGACATTGGCTGTGACACTATTGCGATAGACCTGGAAGATGGACACAACAATAATGGGACACTCGGACAGCACCCTGAAGGATTGCATGCCCTTCAGCAAGGGTCGACCAGATTGTTGTCCAGCATCTGCGCTGAAGTCGGCGGCGCCAGGGGCGACGGGAGAGCCTGGTCTCGGAGATTGTTGGTGTGGCATGAAGCTCGTTTGGGTGCTGCCGGGAGTTGAAGGGGCGCCTGGGGGGCCGACCACAGACGTGGATGTGTCGTCAAGCTGTTCCTTTACCACCAATGCCGTCTGTTCGAAGAGCTCCTGTATCAGGTTCAGGAAGGGCTGGACTTTGGGACCTAGGACTTTGTGTTGGTGGCGCATGATCTCGGATATGATCTTGACACAGAGAACGGCGTTGTCTTCGTTGTCTTCTCGTACAAGACCCATGAGCAGGTCTACAACTTCTTCGGCGAAGGGTTCGAAGGGCTCGGGCGACGGGTTCGAGGTAGGGAGGCGATGAAGGATCTCGAGGATGCAGTTTCGCAGCTTCTGCATGTTGACTTGATCCATCGTTTTGCTCTGGAACACTGGTGGCTGGCGGAGAATCATGATGAAGGGAGGCATTATGCGCTTGAGGAACGGAGAGTATGCTGGACCGGTCACATAGTGGTCGAGGCTGTCGCGCAAGTTTATCGCGGCTTCGACCTTGAGCCGAAGCTCTGTAAGGAGGCACGCGATGTCAGAATCGACTCATGAAGCACTAGAGGGAGGGGAAGGGTAGATAAACGTACCAATTTCGGGAGTGCACAGCTTCCTGACGACATCGTCAATTAGGTTGGCCATGGCTGAGTGGCGGCGTTCACCTCGGGCAGTAGTAGAAAAGCTGTCGGTAAAGCTCTATTGGCATGGAGGAAGGGGAGAAAGGATAGCTATGTCCAGCCTATACAAGTTAGTTACGGGTTGCATGTCGACGATTTGATCGGGACGACAAGGCTGAAGTGACGGGAGGTATGACCAAAGCATCTCGGTTTGTCGGCGGCAGAATGTCGCAAAGGACGGGAAGGGGGCATGCTCGATCCACCCGGGCATACAAAGGTCAGGCAGGTACCTGTACGGAACAGGCGATCCACCAGCAAGTGCAGATGAGCTGTTGAAAGGCAGGCAGGAGATAGATGCAGGTTCGGGAAGGTGTAGTAAACACCGGCATCAACAGCCATTGATGATCGGGGGTCCCGGTAGAGGCAGGTAGGTAGAGGGGTAACGGTGCGGTATGGGGAAGGCTCGATCCATCAGGCTGGAGATGGAGTGGAAACATGGCCTCGTCGCCCTGGAGAAGTAACTGAAATCAACACTCACTTATGACGCCATAGCAGAAGATAATCGTTGTTATTATCATCCAAGTGCGGAGGAATGGGTATCGCAAAGGAAGATTATCGCAGCGCAATATGGAAGAGAGAGGTTGGAATAAAACAAAAGTATCTGATGGGTATCAAGTGATTGGTAAAAGTGGGAAAATGCGCCGCTGTCAGAAGGTTGCGACAGTTGCTCTCGGTGGAAAGTGCAACCTGGGCGGGCAGACTGCGGCGCGGTCGCAAATCGAAAAATCCCAGGGAACGCGAAGCAGGGGCGTCCGGTCGCCAAATCCAACAACGCTAGGCATCCGTTTAAACGTTGTTCCGGACTTCGCCCCTCCCTGATTGGTCAACCTTAAAGCTTAAGGCCTAACGGGGTTCTCGGCAGGCAAGCTGGTTCCTTGTACTTGCGGCTGTCGATCTAATCTTATCGGCTGAGCTTATCTTATCACTTACACGGAATGCCCCACTGCCGTTTACGATCGACGCTTTTCCAGACCGTGACATCAAACGTCCTCCTTTAAGACTGATGGAAGCAGGACCGCCATCTGCACAACGTTCAAGAAGAATGCAGAAAGAAACAAAGGAATAGTACAGGTTTCTCCTTTCATTCACCAGCTACGCCTGTCTAGGTAAAGGTTATTCTAGCACAGTCATTGACGTATTGACGTTTTGCGTTTGCCAGAAATCTGCCTGGTGGTTAAGTGTTCAAGGCACTTTTAGGTTGCCGCTCTGATCCGAAATTGTTACTCATTTTCTTCGCGTATATGTGGTCACAAGGAGCTCAGGGTCAAGATTGTGTATATGTCCAAGATCTGTTTATTCTAGCTTCAAGAGTGAATGTACACGGTAATACTACAAGATGTTTGTGACAAGAAAGGAAAAGCTTTTAAACAAAAAACGCCGCCGGGTATTGCTAATGTCTTGCTTTATCCAATGCAAGAGTCCCCAATAATATCCCAAATATGTGTGTAGTGAATGAAGAGAAAGGAAGTGTTGTTTGTTTTTGAATGAGTGATGGGGTTTGACACTTTAGCCCCTGAAACGAACGGCGAGGCGCCTCATCTTCTTTCCGGCAGCCTTGATGTTGAGAGAAGTAGACTGGCCGACATCACAAACGGTGCCAGCAGCAAGTGGCATGACGGGCGTCCAGACGCCGGAAGCACACTGCTGGTAAGACTTTCCATCAATGCAGTTCCACATTCCTTCAGTGCTGCAAGCAGATCCTGCACCGGAGCTGCCCGAGCCACCGGAGCCGGAACCAGAGCCAGGGCCCGAACCAGAGCCCGAACCAGAGCCCGAACCGGAACCACCACCGGAGGAGCCGCCACCAGTTTGAGGAGGAGGAGCAGGAGTTTGAGCAGGAGGAGCAGGAACAGAAGTGGTGGGAGCCTGCGCAGGAGGAGTCACGGCCGGAGAATCGGGAACCGGAGCCGTGATGAAGATTCCACCTCCACCTCCACCAGGAGCATTAGTGGGAGGAGCAGCCGGAGCAGTTGTGGATGGCGAAGGAGACGATCCAGAGCCACCGCCGGAGCCACCGCCGGAGCCACCGCCAGAGCCGCCGCCAGAAACAGCATTGCACTCAGGAGAAAGACCACCCTCGAAGTCTGAAGCAAAAGTGTCGACCGACTTGCCGGGGTTGGGATACTTGTAGTCGTGGTTTTCCTGTGTGGTGCACGCGTTGATGGAAGGGATGTTGGCCACCAACATGTTCGGCAGCGACTCATAGTTGGACTTATCACCTCCACTGCCAGTGAGAGTGACGGGAGCGCAGTTCATGTAGAACTCACGGTTCCCGATCTTGTTCAACCAAGTCCAGGCAATGGTGGCGTTGCCGGTTGGGATATTGTCGGGAATGGGGAAAGAATAACCGAATGGGTCAGCGAGGTTCGCGTTTTCAGGCAGGTTGCCAGGAGTGTCCTTTGCAGGGCAACCGCCTTCGATGGAGTGAATGACCTTCCAGACGCTGTTCTTGTTCGGCTGGGTGTCGTAGGTGATGGAAACTTGGCACGAGCCTCCTCCATGGACTGCCGAGCCAGTGAAGGCCAAGGGCTGTTTTGAGCCCAAGGCCATGGGGCTGGGAGTGCCGGAGTAGACAGTTCCTTCACGTGCCTGGCAAGGGAAGTTGATGCCAGTTGGGTCGAGAGGGCCGTTCTGCGCTTGGGGAGAGGAGAATATTTTGGGCGTGTTCATCAACATGTGAGCCTGCGAAAGCACGGCAAAGCCGCTGGTGGCGACAAAAGCTTGTTTGAAGAACATGATTGTGTTGGGGCTATTCGTTCCAGACGAGTAACTCCAGTCGTTGAAAGAGTAAAGAACGAAGACTTTGAGATATCTTCCCTCCAGAAATAGGGGTATGGCTTTGAGCAGATGCTGTAAGGATCCTGTAGGCTTGAGTGGGTGTATTGCGTAGAGAGAGAACGCTTGAAGACTGAAGTTGTTGTTTGGTAATGAAGGAGGGTAATGCACCAGGCAGAAAGTCAGACAACAAGATCAGGGAAAGTTGAAGCCTCTTAGGAAATAGAGGAGAAAGCCGAATCACCGGGAGATGGTTGTGTTTAGAAAAGAAGAGGGAAAGAAGGGCTTGGCCTGGCCATCTATATATCTGAAAGCATGGTAGAATGAAGAGTGTAGAGTTCCACTGGGGATGAACAAATGCAAGGCTCTGATTTGTTCTCAAACGGAGATACTAGACTTCGGAAACTTCTGCAGGAACAGAAGTGACTAGCTAACTCATTGGGTCAGAGAGCATCAATTCCCAGAGGGAATCTCATGGTCCACTTGGACGGTGGGGCATCATCTGAGTTTGGTGGTAAGTGCTGACCAGTCAGACTCAGGAAGCACCTCATGGCCACTAGCTTTTGAAGCACGGGGGAATGACACAGACGAACCAAAAGACATTGCTTAGCCGTTTAGAAGCCCAGCTCAGGCTCTTGATAGGCTGTCGTGGTTTGTTTCAAACGCATGGGATAGGCATAGAATACCGGAGCAGCTCGGTAGCCCGCTTGAGTGGTTGGACTGTAGCCGTGATATTCGAGACATGCCATATGAAGAGCACATAAGAGGCGTGATATTGTCAAGGAGAGAGGATGGGCATTTGCAGATCGGAGATCGAAACTGCAGCCCGCAGTAAGATTCCGAGCCATCTGTGGCGTGGCACGGAAACGCAAACAACAGAAAAAGAATGGGATCCAAGATGTCGAGCTTGTTAGAGGTCGGATGAGAACACTCAGTGTTGTATTCTCCATTTTCAAAGTATCAGAGCGCACACCTGGATACCTTGGATACCTGCCTGAAGTGCCTCCCGCATATTTGCATTCATGTTGTTTTGTTTTTTTTTCTTTCGAGAGAGGTGATGGAAGGAGGCGGCGTTTACCACATGAATCAGTACCTCTGTCTACCTGGATAGCATGCCGCGGTCAGCGCAAGTCTTGACGAATACGGTATGTCGTCGAACCCGACTGGCCGTTACCCTAGGGCTCCCAATGAGGTCCCTGACGTTGCTTCCCAAGGACGCGGTACTCAAGTGTCACTTGACCTGGCGTGACCAAGGTTGCGGCCGATCTCTTGCGAACTACCCTTGAAGAGCGGCAAATTGCAAGCCTTCAATGGAGCAACAGCTGGAGGCCGCGCGGAGGCCGCGAGAAGGAGACCCACGATTTGAAGCCCAACGACGCTAGGGTTCCAGAAATAAAGTGCTCAACGGCGTGAAAAGCGAAACAAGAGCATCACGTCGGTTGAAAAAATTATGGCGAGGTAAGATTGAAACATCCAAAACTGATGTGACAAGATCAAGGACCATTCAAAATGCGGGGTCCGAGGAAGATGTGGACGAGGACGACCGGGATGCGGTGGAAGATGTTGGGTCCCTGCCAAGAACAGCGTGGCAGGGGTTTTCAGCGGTGCCTAGTTGAGGCGACCCCCCTTGTAGGTCTCGCTTGTAGCCCGACTTGCGCTTATAGATATCGCAAATATATTCCACAAAATGAAAAAAGCGGTTAAACGTATATTAAACAACTATGTGCAAACATCTTCTTAACGTGTATATTATATATAAATTTAGTGTTGTAATAGTCTTTAAAAAATGTTATTGTTAATTTTAGAAATAGAAAAAATTAGGAAGAAAGGTAGTAAGAACTTTAATAATATTTTAAATCGAATATCGGATGGAAGATATAAAACAAATAAATAAAGTAACCCGTTGGATTAAAATATTTAAATTAAAAGCGACCGATTAGATTCTACTTCTTCCTTTCCTCCTTAAATGATTATATTACTATTATCCACTATAATTATAGAATATTTAGGAGTAAATTATACGAAGTTTCCGCGAAGTTTCTACGAAATTTCCTTTTCTTTATTTCTTACGCAAAGTTTCCGCGAAGTTTCCCTTTCTTTATTTTTTACGCGAAGTTTCTACAAAATTTACTTTTTTTTACTTTTTTTTAAATATAAATTAATATTTTTTTATAATTTACTTTCAATAAATATATAATATTTAAATAGTACCCTAAGAACGTCCCAACGTTATTATTTTCGCCGATATTTAGGCCGATCCTTATAACGTAAATTATTATTTTCCTAACGTTATCGAAAATTTAATAACTATTAGTTTTAATTTAATTTAAAGTAATAAAAATATATATACCGCCGAAATCTTCTTCGGCAAGCGTTTCTACCACGTCGCTAAAAATAATAGCGAATTTTACAATTATTAAAGTTCTTTTAAAAATAGAGATATAATATATAAATATCATAAGGATATTTATTAAATTATTTTATATATTAGGTATAAGAATAAATCTTTCAATATAAATATTAATAATTATTTTAAATATTAAAAGGTCCGTATTATTAATAATAAATTTAATATTTTTGAAATTTTTCTAAGTAATTATTAGAAGGTTACTAGAAGGTTACCAGAGGGTTAACAAAGGGTTATTAAGGGTTTTTTAATTAAAATAACTACTAATAAAAGCCGAATTTAAAATTCTATAAATTTTTAAAAGGCTTCTTCGATTAAACTATGACGGAAGTTACTTCGTTTAATAAACGTATTAATTCCGCCTTAAAACCGACGCTATTCCTAACGAAGTATAAAATAGAGTATACTTAAAAATATAATACCTTCGTAAATATTTCTATTACGAAGAATATATACTATAATCACCCCTATTTAAAGTCTTTCATTTTTATTAGGGAATTATCTTTATATTATAAAAAAAGGGGGGGAGGGAGGAATTTACCTAAAATTTCTAACCGATTATTAATTATCCATTAACTTTTTATAAATACTTTATAAATATATAATTAATATTATAATAAAAGCGAAGAAGGATATTACAAACTTCTTATACTAGAATATAATTAAATACTAATAGTAGAATAAAAAGGCGGCTTACAAACGTATTACTTTATATATAGAATACGCTTACGAAGATAAATAATAATTAAAGTTAAATATAAAAGGTATTTAATTTAATAATATTCATACTATATATTAGGACGTTAGAAAGGATTATAAGGATTTAAAGCTTTTACTAAATAATAGTAAGGCTTATACTGGCTATAAATAAATTAGGCGTAAATTTCCTTACCTTTTTTCGTTCCTTTACCTTCCTATTATTAAAAGGTTATTTAAAGGTTTTTAATTATTTAAAAACTATAGTTAACTTTTTTAATTTTTCTTCTTTAAATTTTATTTATAATTTCTACGCCGAAAATTACAATTTGGTTAAAATCTTTAATTCTTTAAACGATATTATCTTTATTACTAATATAATCGATTATACGCTTTATAATTATAAAAATAAAAATTAGGATTAAACGTAAATTCTATTTAATATTAAATATAGTAAGGGCGGTTTAAAAGCGTATATTAATTATTATTATACTAAATACGACTTTCCTTTACCTTATTCCGACCCGGAGGATAATAATAAAAATACATAGAAGCGTATTTAATAGGATTTTAAAATATTATTTTTTAAATTATAATAAAACGTAAGTATTAAATTATTAAAGATTTAATAGATAATTATTAAAGGGTTCGTAAATAATTATATAAGGGTTATAAAAGAGTTATTTATTTAAATAATAGTAATTAGATCGACTATAGTATAAAATTATACTTTAATAGCAATATCGTTTCCCTCTCTTAAATTATATATTTTTTATCGCTTTTTCTATACTACCTAACTTCTTAATAACCATTTAAAAAAATTTTCCAACCGAAATAAAACTTATAAATCTCTCTAAAGTAAAAAATATTATCAAAAAATCTTTTCTTCTCCTTCTAAAATAGAAAATAGATAGAAAATATAAAATTTATATTCTTATTCTTCTAAGGTTAAAAAACTAAAATTAATTCTTTTATAATTTTAAAAGAAAGAATCTTGAAAAGCTATACCCGGTTTAATATTATAAATATTATAATATAAATATTTATTTCCTTTATATATTATATTGATTACCCTTTTATTTAAGGTAAGTAAATTTTTTATAACTATTTAAAAAACTTTTTTTCTAACCGAAATAAAACTTATAAGTCTCTCTAAGGTAAAAAAAATATTATGAAAAAATCCTTTTTTTCTCCATCTAAAATACAAAATAAATTGAAAATATAAAATTTATATTCTTATTCCTTTAAAGTTAAAAAACTAAAATTAATTCTTTTATAATTTTAAAAGAAAGAATTTTAAAAAGTTATACTTAGTTCAATATTGTAAATATTATAATATAAGTGTTTATTTCCTTCATACGTCGTATTTATTATATTTTCGCTTAGGGTAAATAATTTTTTAGTAACTATTTAAAAATTTTCATTAAAATTAAAAAATTGTAAAAATTTCTTCTTTTTTTTTCTATTATATTAAAATATATTATAAAGAAACTTCTCCCCTCTATTAAATAAAAAGTATAAAATCTATCTTGTTAATTATTTAAAATGTGAAGAATAAATATTCTTCTTATATATATTTAATATAATATACATATTTCTTTATTTTATATTCCATATTTTTTAACCTTCTCTCAAGTTTATTTAAGTACTTTATAGTAACGGCTTATTTGTTTAAACGAATTGAAAGAAAATAATATATTATATTTTATATTTAATAAAAATAAAACATAAATTATAATTTTCTATTTTATAATACGTTGTAGTACTAAAATATTTTTTATCAGTAAAAATATATTAAATAATATATTTTTATTTCTTGGTTTAAATTAAGTTATATTAAAAAATATTAAATAAAATATACTCTTCTAATTAGTTAATACTAATAGTCTTTCTTTTTAGATATTTCTTTTATAATTTCTCTCTACTAAAAAGAATATTATAACGTTCTTTCTTAATATTTTTCTCGGAGATTACTACAATTATTTTAAAATAGTTCTTTCCTTTACTATCGTCCGTACTATGGAGGCGATTAATATAATACTTTTTAATAAAGATTATACTATCCAATTATATTTCTATATATTTTTTTAAATTGTAATAATAAATATTATTAAGCAATAAGAATTATTAATTATAACCGAAGGTATATTTCCTAAAGAAAAAGCTTAATAAAAATACTTTATAGAAGTACTTTATTATAAGGATAATTAATTATATATTTATAAAAAGGTAGATTAAACTTTATTTGATCTCTTATTCTAAAATAGAAGTCGTAAACGTTATTTAAAGTTTCGTTACCCTAAATATTATTTAACGTTCGTCCTTTAATTAACTATTTAATTATTAAACTATTGTTATTATACGAATAGTCGTAACTATTATAATTATTGTATTTAATTTATCGTCCGTATTTATGTTTAATTATATTCGGTTATTCTTATTATTTTATCTGATTATTTATCGCATTATCGTTATCTTTCGTTATATTATTATTATTATACTTAAATAATCGCTACTTTCTAATTGCGTCCATTCTCTTATAACGTCGACGATTTAATACAATTATTAAAATAATTGAATATCGGTATTATCGAAGGCCCCGGAATTATTATACGATTAGTTCCAAAGTTCTCGTCGTTTTTCCATTTTAATAATTTTAGTATAAATTTAAAATAAATAATTAATTAACCTCTTAGAAAATGAAGTAAACTTTAACGAGGATAGAAAGCTTTAGCTATAAATTTCCTATTTCTATTTTCGCTAATTTAGTAATAAATTTATAATTTATTTCGTTCTTATTACTAATTTGAAATAGGCTAGAATAATACAATAATATAATATAAAACTAATTATATATTATAATAAAACTTTATTATAGATAATTAATTAGGGTTGTAATATTAGAAGTTATAATTTAAGTAGACGAGGTAGTTAACGGTAATTATAGATAGAAAAGCTAAAATTTAAAATTTAGAAAGAGGAGGGTTAAAGAGAGTGAACGAATAGGTCGCAAATACCTTTAGAATTTAAAGAATAAATAAATATAAAGCTTATTACTCGATAATTAATAAATAAAAGTAACTTTCTCCTTAATAGAGAAATAAAAGATTAAGAAAACGTTTAATTATTAATAAAATAATTAATTATATGTCTTACGTAAAGAAATAATAAAAGGCGATTCAAAATATTCAACTAAAGTATATAGAATATATTTAAAAAGAATATTATTACTTCCTTATTATTATCCCTCTTAATGATTCTTTTTTTTCATATTAATCCCCTTTCCTTTTCATTATCCTCCTATCATTCTATTCTTCTTCCATCAATCTTCTTTTTCCATTGATAATTTATCTAATTTTATCTATCAATTATAAATAAGTAATTAGCCATCCAAACAATTCATACGATTAGCTATCTGTCAATCTCCCAATCTTTCCTATGATCCCTGATTAATGTCAGCTGACTAGTTCCTTTCAGTCTTGTAACCATGCTCCTGAACAAAATGCATTGCAGAAAAATCGTGAAAAAATCAGCGCAAAAATCATAAGGCATACCATCCCAAATCAATATATTTAAATAATATAGTAGTTAGTAAAGAATTGTAAAAAAATAAACCAAAAATAAAAATAGGTATTACCTATTACTAAATTACCTATAGTAATTAATAAATAAAAAGGATAAGATAAGTAAAATAAAGAAGAAAATAAAAGTAAAAACGAGGATAACTATTATCCTTATAAAAATTTAATTTAGTATTACTTTAAAATTATTTAATAATTATACGAATCTTCATAAGGCCTTTACAAATACTTTACAAATACTTTATAAATATTTTATAAATACTTTATATATACTTTACGTATACTTTAAACTCTGTTTCGGATATATATAATTTAATAAAACCGGCTGATAAATTTACGCATAATATACCTCTATCGGGCAATAAAAATATCGTATATAATTATTTTATAATTTAACATCTTATTTTATAATATTTATATCCGAAGTACTTTATATAGTAAAATAATAGGACTTTTAAAATACTTCTCGTAAATAAAATTATATCCAAAATACTTCGAATATCTCTATTACAACGTATTCAGGGTCCTACTATAGTATATACCAAAGTATACCCGAGGTCTAAATATTATAAACAATAATTATATCGATAAGTTACTAAGTAATGAATATTAATTATATTTTACGATTTTACAATAGTAATAAGTAGTTATTAAATAGTTAATAACCTATTAAGTAGGCGTAATATACTTAATATATTCTGGGTCTTTTGTTGTGTCACTCTAGTTATTTGGCTACTATGAACGGATGCATTTGGTATGGATACGGTTTCTTACAAACATGCAATAATGCGATGTGGCTCTAAGTATCCTGTACTCTGCATGCGGACGCGGACTTAAATAGGGTTAGGGTTATATATGGAAAATCTCGGTGGGTCCCAACAGGGGGGATCGCCTGAGCTATACGTCCGGGGTTTCAGGGGCTCAAGGGTGGCACCTTCCAGTGGCCGAGATGCTCCCGTCCGAACTGCACGACTTGACAGCCTGTCAGCCTGTGAAATCTCTGAAGCATGGGAGACAGCTGAGCCAACTTATCTTACATTGCATTCGAGGATGCGAGATGTGTGTTACCTGCCACAGAGCCACTTTGACTGGAGGGTGAGGATTCCCGTTTCGCGCAACCACCATGTCATGCCACGAAGTCAGTAGCCAGTCAGGCATTCAAACTCGAAGAGCGTAGGCTATACCGCATCCACTCAGTCGTAACGGAAATGCTTTGTGGATAATACAAGGTTTATGAGCCAATCCAGTTGGCAAGATGCTGCATATGCAGCTAAGAGCAAGCTCAAAACGCCCGCATAAGGTGTGGCCTTCCCCGATTGAGGATTTCCGTTACGACTGAAAAAATGCGGTAATATGGAACCCAGTAGGTATACTTGTGTGATTCTAGATGCCAATGGAGTCTTCCCCGATAGCGACTTACAATGGCTTTGGAAAGTTAGCCACTATAGATGTTTCGTCGACATTCAATGATACAATATGACTGCAACTCTGAATTCGCTGGGGCTGGCCGGGGCTCGAGAGTGGTTTTCGATGCGACCACCATGTCCGGGTCCAGAAACGTGGAACCTGGAAAAAGCATGGACAGTTCGGTTGTCAGTTTGGATGAGGCGAAAATGTTCCCTTGTACACATCCCCAGAATTTGCCCATCCATTGGTAGGGTACGTACCTCCTGTAACATTAGCTATCCCGGTCAAGCATGTGCGCCGATGATCTGGCTGGCTCGTTGACTGGTCGCTGAACGCCCGGATGATGAAACGACGAACAGGGTCCGGTTTCATCTTTTGGGGTGAACACCAGAGGTATTCGTCCTGATAACATTCTACCCAGCACGTCCATAACAAAACCCAACAAAAGCCATCAACTTGGAGATATCTGGCTCTAATGTGACCTCCCCGAAGGAACAGCTGAGGGGAAATAATGATTGAACATTTATTCCAGAATCTCCCAGGTATTGCCTCTCACAAGACACGTTCAAGGTAGCCCACGTGAGGTATCTGTCTATCGGGGACCGTGGAGGCCGCGATAAGCCGATGACAAGCACCTGGAAACCTTCGAGCCAACAGCTCACAACTCACAAAATCGCATGCGCCCATAGAGTCCGCTCCACACCCTCACCGACACTTTCGTTGCGATGGCAACGAACCCGATGCTTCGGCACGGCGCGTAACAAATTTTTCGGAATCGTTTGTCACCGCGGCCGACAAATCTGGCAACCAGGCATCAACACTACCAAATCTTCTTCACCCAACGGCAGAGCTAGCAAATGCGTACCCGCGAAAACATTGGGCGCAAACGCGTAAGCCGCTGGAAAAGCTTCGTATGCCAGCGCTTCGGGAAATACTCGCGGGTCCCAGAACACGAAGCCTTAGACGCATCGTACCCACTCCAGGTACTATTTGCAATACCGTCATGGAAGGTTGATGAGAAGGCGCTTCGAATTACCAGGTTCAGCCAGGGCTGTGGGCATGGCATTGGGTGTTTTTGCTTCCACATGTTATTTGTTCACGCAGATGGGGCTGATGCGTTTTTGAAAAGAGGCTTGTCCGTCATTTCGACTGGCGCTTAAGATTTCGGGTTCTTGTTTCGATATCTAGGTAACCGGTGAGTGCACATGGGCGACTTCCACCAAACAATTGGTTGCTTTGCACATGCTCAGCTTCGGCGAAACTTTAGACAGCCGCCGCGACCGTAGCAGGCTTGGCGGGATCGCAGTCTGTGGGTGAATGAAAATACACAGGTCAGCGACATACTCTCACACTCCAGTCTCATGATCTCACACCATTTGGAGAACCGAGAACCCAAACCACATTGCACCGGCTGGAAATACTCACCCGCAAAGATATGATCACCCCTGCTCCAGAGCTTCAACTTATCCCTCTTGAACTCCTCCAAATCCCACTCCTTCTCCTCCAAGTTCTGCGTGGGCATGAAGACATACACCTGCGCCTCCCTCTCCTCACCCTCCACGTTGCCCTCCCCACTCACATCACCCACTTTCTCAAGAAGCTTCACTTTGACCGTTCGGCGTTCATACTCGGCGCCTTCGAAGTAATCCAGCTTGTCCATGTTCGCTTTCGTCAGCCCCTCCGCAAACATGCCGAACACGCTGTGCCCCGCATCCTCGGTGATGCCAGGGTAGTCAGCGAGCCTCACGCGGCGGCGAGAATAGCCATGGAGGATCGCGGGCGAGAATTTGTGCTGGCGAGCGATGACATCCGGGACGGTTTTTGAGTTGTAGCAAACCGTGTAAAAGACTTCCGGGACCATGAGCGTGCCTATATGTTGTTCTTGTCAGAATTATGATGGTTCAGAGGCTACTAAAGGTAGGTACGTCTGGATCTGGGCCTTACCGTAGAAGAAGGCGCAATGCACCGCGTCGTCGCTTTGAGCGGATACCTCGGATGCGCTATTCGTCATCTTGAAGTCAGGATCTTCGGTCGCAGACGTTGTTCGATACTGTACGTTCAGTTCAGTATGAGAACAGTTCCGAGCAAAATTTAAACAGCGTCGAGGCAGTTCAGCTTCGTGGATGGTTGTAAAAAGAGTTTTGTATGTAACGAGTCAGACGTCAAAAGATGATAACGATGGTGCATGTTTCCTGCTGTAGGGCTGACTTCTCAACTTTGCCCCTCATTCAGCGCTACCGTGGGGCGAATAGAGGCCAAAAATTCGCCAAGCAACCCACCTGCACGAGCTGAAGAGGTATTTCCAAATCTGGAAGTGACGATAGAGCAGGATATGACAATATCACAGAATTTGTTGTAGATAAGTACTGCACCGGTGATGGTTGCCTCTGGTTAAGGTTCCGGGGCTCCTTCCCTTCTCCAAGCCCAGTCCCAAGACCCCAACTTCATGCAGAAACCCCACAGGCTGCAATGTCAAATCTCGGAAACTTCCATGGAGGAAGTCATGACTGACAACCACCATTGACTCACCGGAGCATCACAGAAGGAGGCCGGGCCTGATATTTGTTGATCGAGGAGTGCTCGAAGCCGACAGAAAGACGGTACCCACCAGTTGCACCACCATCCGCGTAGGCAAAGTTTGAAATTCATTATGAAGTTACCTCTGTATGATCGAGCTGACAGTCTTGCTATGATATAACGAGATCTTTAATGACAAGTTGAGAGCTTGAGTCCTCCTCCTATCATGGGAAGAATGGGAACCATGGTTCCTTCCAGGCATCCACTTGACTGAGGGAGGCGAGTGCAGAGGGACAGTTTTTCTTTTTATGTTTCTTGATCATATAAATATTAACGTATACCAGATATTTGCCTGGCATGGGTATCACTACTATCTATCCAAATTGTCAAATAAAGGAAACCTGGCTCGGCGATTTTCCCACTTTCTTCTGAAACCATGACCTCGCAGTAGATCTGCGTCTTAGCATGGTCCCATCAATCGGTGTTACAAACGGGTCCATCTCAATGCCCACATGGACATTCCCATCGACACCAAGATATCTTCCGAAGGAAAATGTCCCCGGTAATGCTTTCCTGTGCCCGCTTTCCTTATCGCTGTCATTGCCATTCCCATATTCAGTGACCGCGCGGCTGGCGGCCGTATATGCAAGCAGAGATCCCAACGTGGATGGTAACCGAGGAAGATATGCTTCGCTCTGTGCAGCATAGAACCATACCAGCACAGCCGCGTTCAAGCAGAGGATCACGACACTCAACATGAATGCAGTATCGTCCAAGAAAATGCGTGTCTCGGTAACGATTACCACACCGGGTACGTCCGTTTTCTCGCTTGCTTCTTTAAACATGTCGAAATTCTGTCCAAGCAGGATCGCAAACAGCCTCTGGTACAGTTCCTCCACAGCAGGAGCAGCATACTCGGGCTTCGGGACGTCCAGAGTAGGGTCAACCAAGTCCGAGCTTTGTAGGTAGGACTTCAAGAGGTAGTTCCACCAGTCCACAACCATACTCACGTTATGCCAGCCGAAGTAATTAAACGGTCTCGAGCTGTCGTTGGTGAGCCTGTTGGCCTGCCTCACCAAGGTTTGGGACATATTCAAGGACATGAACTGTGTAATGTCATCAAAGTCGCCGTTCCTTGTATATGCCAGAATGTGACCAGCCTTATCAAAGTCGACGTCGAACATGGCTGTCTTTAAAACTGCCTGGCATTGTAAGAAGGTCGATCGGAATGTGTTATTCGGGTCTTCCGAGTTGACCCGAAGCCAGCCAACCACAAACCTGTCCTCACAGAAGTGATCCTCGTAGGCTTTGTTACCAATGTTTCCGTATTCAATACTGAGAGGGCTAACCACTTCGCGCGCTGACAACCCTGTCGCGTTGGCTCCCCAAATAAGCTCCATGGGGTAGCAGGATTGCCAAGTACCATTCTCCCGGAGGAAATTGAAGGTAGAGCCAGGACTACCATCAGTGTGGAATCCATTCAGAAGCTCGGAGACGTTGGCATATGCTTTGGGGTCTGAAAGCGAGGTTGACAGTGGTTCACATTTAGCCTCAGCTCCAAACCCTCGTAGTGTGGATCTGAAGAGATTCGAGGAGCCAGCCTGCTGAACGGTTTCTTTTTCTTCAACCGGGAGGAATGTGTACTTTGTTGTCACCCATGGCGGAAGAGTTGTATTGTGAGAGAAGTTGGTTGATGCTGCGTAGTAATGGTCTTGATACACCCTGTTATACATATATGTTGTATTCAGGATTGTATCGCGACTGAGTTCGGGTGCTCGAACCTGGCTGAATGTTGTAGGATACTGGATCTTGACGGGTAATTCGTTGAAAGTGCCACCAAGCGCAACTGTGAGGACGTTGACAAGGAGAGCCATCACGCAGAGAATTGTGAGTAAGAAATGTCGGGATCGTATAGCTCGCCACAACACAAGCTGTGGTGGCAACGATGTGTACTTGGCTTCCAATGTACGCTCTGGGTTGCATTTCCCATTGCGTAGAGCGTTGAACGGTTGCAGAATGCAGAACAACCTAGTAAGGAGCACAAGAAAGGGCTCCAACAGTGTTGTGAGAATTGTTGGGATGTAGTTTTCCAACAACTGTAAAACTTCAAAGTTTTCGCTTGGTCGTGGTAAACCTGCGATACAATCATTAGCTGTTGCATCTCACCAGACCTATCGATACGGGCAGACAACTTACCGCCCAAGCTTTGCTCCTTTTTCTTGAAGTAAATCAGAACACCAGCTCCAGAAAGCAACAAACAGACAAGTAAACATCCAGTCAATGGACTCAACTCTTTGGGTCTAACCGGAGTGTATTCAATACTCCTTCTGCGACCCTCAAAGGTGCTAGTCTCGTGGGATTTGCTCTCCATCTCCAGGGAGTTTCCAGTAATCCCTTGCTCGAGGAAGAACCGTTCTGCTACCAGGCTTCTCTGGAGGGTTGCAGCGTCTGAACAGTCTTCCATTGCTAGCCGATTACGCACTGCCCGACTGGTTTTGACGGATCTTAATGCAAAGCCGATGGTCGCTGGATCCGAAACCAATTTGCTTTTCGTCCGCACAGAGGTATACAGAGTGCCCCCCATTAGGAAGACAAGCAAAACTAGAAGACCCTCGACAATAGCCGATATCGTTCTGCTAACCACAACGCCGTACAAGGCATAAGTAGTTTTCCCGGTCATTTGCTGAGGGTCTCGAGCTTTTGAGGTAAGCTGGGAAATGGCGGCGGAAAAAATGGTTTTATAGGCCGTGGTAAACGCACGTTCCATAACCGCGGCGTGCTGAAACTCTATTGCAGGATCATCTGAAAGTCCCAATGCAAGATTAACCATGGGCATTGTCGGCCCGGCGATGTTCTCTCCAGAGAGGCTACCCCATGGTTCAAACGTCGTTGCGGCTGGATAGTCCCGCGTAGGAGTAATAGGAGGCATTCCAACGCTTGTGATGTATCCAAATGCCGTTGAATTGAACTCATTCTCACTGAGTCTTTCCTTCGGCCCAGCTGCAACAACCGAGTCGTTCAGCGGACGACCTGATTCTGCAGATACAGTCGCCGTCACAGGTTGTTTGTAAAATGATGCCTCGCAGAATGAAGCCGTAATGTTCGTCTCGTAGTTCATCCCTTGCTCGTCCTTGGATCGATACGCGTAGAAAGTAAGGAATTGGTTAGTTGAGTTTGTACTGCAATGCGGACCTTCGAGGTAGTAGTCAAGAATTGCGCTCTCATAGTAGCCAACGTAGAGAATAAGTGATGTGTCGTTTTGGAATGGGTTCGTCTGGAATAAGCTGACATTGACAGCGCAGCCATGACCATTGTCCAACATGTAGGAGTTCCGCGGTGCAAGCTTGGACATGGCAGCTTGCCAGCAGTCCACTTCGACAGTGTACATGTCCGTAACGGCGGTGAGGTTTTCGTTCGGTCGATAGTGTGAAGTCGTATTTTCGGGAGAGAATGGCATAAGAGCATAGTCGCCGGTCGTGAACGGTGGAGCGGCTTGTTCAAGCCATGCCATACCATAGGCTGCATGTAACACTGTCGTGTCCATCATTGTCGCCTGTTCCTGGAGTGACGGCAAAGTACTATAAGAGGACATTGTCATATTCGTAACGAAGGAAACCGGCTTCACACCCATGATTGCACTTTGAAAGGGGGTAATTGCCCAGAATAGGATCATGGATGCAATGCCAGAGAAGAAAACAGGCCAGTGTCTGTTGGGCGTTAGTTGGAACTCATGACTGCGACCTCGGAGAGGGTGATCTCACCCTTTTTTCCACGCCGTGAATGGTATGAAGGCGAGAAACGTATTCGGATAATCCAGAAGCAGAGACGAATCCGCCGTAGCACCCTCTGGTCGGGATAGCTCCAGCCATGGCTGTATTCGTCGAATGTCGAGGTCGATCCAAGACCAGAGCAAGCTGTAGAGAACTGAGATAACGGTAGGTGCATAAAGGTAGCCCAAGGTCACAGCTCCAGAAAGACAATCAGAACACTCCGAGAGAGCCAGTCCACCTAGCTTCTGGCTCCTTTGCGCAAGGAACTCGATAGCCCCGGCGAGCACGAGGGTCAACACAATTACAGATAACAGTACCGGCGCCTGCATTGTATAAGGTTTCCAACCCTCTATGGCAGTTCAAAATTAGACAGTGTAACGGCTCAGGAGAATAACATGTTTTCTTACCAATCAACGAGACCGAAGCCTGCTTCTTCATCATGAGCCCCTTGACTGCCATCTTGTCGTGGGTCCTGGATGAACGCAACTCGACCCCCTTATGAACACCCGCCAGCGGGTTCGTGATATAAACGAAAGGAGGAGAAACAAAAGAGAAAAGACGATTTCAAATTGGTTGACACATGATACGTTACCGTAGGGCTATCCATAACGTATAAGTAAACATTGCAGTCTCCATCTCCAAGCCACGTCCATGGCCTCTTGCTCCGGTTGAAGATGCTCGTCGGCGCCTATGAGACAGGTTCATCTTCGTCCAGCGCTTAGGTTAAGCGCAGAAATACCCTTGAAAATGGCCTAGACTCGCGATGCGACCGACCGCGATGGGGTGCTATGTTGACGGACCACTAGGAAGGCTTCGGTAAATGGCCGCTTGCCGTTAGGGCCACCAGGGACCTCATGGCCATCCAATGAGAACACCAAAATTGCCTGTCATGAGTTGATGCACTGTGCTGACTGCTTGTGATGCGCAGAGTCATTTTTAGGACACCCGTCGGCACTCATTGTGTCCATGGTTTTGGCGATGTAAAAGTTCAGAAATTTGGTGTGGTGAAGTCAAGCTTGGAGTTGAGAGTTTGAGCATCGACGGGAAAGAGAGTTTGGTCAGTTCCGGGGCGGCAACTGCATGCCAGCTGTCAGTTACGGTAGTTGTGGTGCGTGGGTTGCGCGGGAAGGAGCAAATCATGCAGCAATAGAAAGAAGTGTTTGCATCTGCCGGCCGCGGCACTGCCACAGGATGAACGTGACGGCTTGGAGTTGCAGTGGTTCTCTACACGGCAGTCGCGACCCAACGAGTTCACCGACATTATCCTGAAAAATCTGTCGAATCTGAACTTTTACCTCCAACATATTTTCAGTTTTGCCCGGAATCTCTTTCTTTGTTGACATCCTCATCATCCGTCCCAATGGAGGGCTTTGACCATCACCATGGGCCTAGACGATCTTTTTTCTGGCAAACGAGGAGCATCACCCTACCTTTCGCTACATCCTTGAGGACCATGGTCAGCACCAGGCAACACATGTGCTCTGATCCATCCCCTCAATCATGGCTTATCGAGCAAAGCTAAGCCCGTGCCATATATCGAATTGTCATCGACGGTCAGCTTGGGGGTATCGCGCAAGTTAAGAATATGCCCGAGTTAGCCAACTTTCGATACCTGTTCCTTGTGTATATGGGATATCGTGCTAACCCCTCTTTGCAGCTAACCAGCGCCGACGAAATCCTGATCCGTCTTTGCAATGTCCCAACGGGACGGACGTCGTGGCTCCCGAGTCGCCAGATGGGCTCACCACATATGTATGTGGCCAGCATCAGCGACCACACTCTTCATTTCACCAACTGATGGGTCCCTCGACGATAAGGGTTCGTTCGGGTGCACCCCTTCTCATGGCGAATCGCTGCCATACGGACGATCTGCGGCTTGGTCTCTCTTGGAAACCCGGGGTCAGCAAAGTCCAGTCAGGTGCAACGAACGGCGCCATAGCTGCATACAACTTCATCACCGGAGAGGCACAGTAAGCCAGATTACTACATGCCCATACCTTATCCAGAAGGTTTATGCGAACTGGAGCATCATGAGGGTGTTCAAAGGCACCACCCCCTTTTCTTCAGTTTCCACCTCGTCCAAACCAGCATCTACCGCTGCAGGCGACGGGCTAACCAAAGTATGTACCGTTGGTGCAGTGGAGTACCGTCCGGTAGCTAGTGTTGCTGGAGCTCCATTCGTCATCGGACGGAGACGGCTGTGCGGGCCCATAATCAGAGAGCATCCAGCTTCATTTTTGTGGTCTTGAAGTCAGATCCAAGGCCTAACCTCATCTCAGGGCATCGCTATGCACATCGCCCTGGGTTGGAGATGCTATACTGAGCTACCATATTATGACTTGAAACGTCGAGGAGGGGAATATGACAATTAGCTATATCGACAACGGGCAAAAGCTGGATGTCAAGAGCCTCCTGAACACCCTGTCGGCGAAACTAACGTGACATTCGGAGCGCACTCGGCGCTTCCACATACCGGGTCGCTCGCCAAGCACCGGGTTCGCTACCTTTAACCCGTTCAGACGGAGTTGCGCACGAGGCAATCCCACTCCCAGGAACAACATCGATACACTCACATCGCAGCACCCAAAGTCCGTTGGCTTTTTATCACAAGTTCATTTCTTCGCTTCAGTCTTGATGGGTAGTGATTCTATCCCGAACGAACTTCCCTCATCCCGCTACCGTACGCACTGCACGCTGGACTGTTGCGGGTCAGGAGGCCCAATCATAGTACAGCCGGGTCACATGAAACCTTTCAGTTCAGCCCAAATATTCAGGTGCTTCATCGCCCAAATCGGATCTCCTGACTGAACATTTTATGAGGTTTCTGTCATGCTACTCAGTCCCATCGAAGTAGGCAACCTCGGTGCGGAAGGGCCATCAATAAACTGAGTACCTACTGTGCTGTTAAGACCGACCACCTACGAGGCTCCTTTCGGGATACTGAACTCTTCCTCTCACGATGCTACATGAGGTTTAGCGGTTAACTCCCTGTCAGCCCATCCCCCACAGTGCGCCACGCTACGGGTGGTGGTGGTGGGAGAGCAGTACCGAAGAGGCTGGAGAATATCGATGCGATTGGTGTCTATTTTCAGCTTTCTCGAGTGCCGCGAAACCGATCCTACAACAATTGGGTCGAGGTAGCCGCGTACAAAGGTCACAATCCTCAACCTGGTGAACCTGGCATTTGTTGTTACCCACGATTGATACCACTGCAATGTTTTCCTTCCTCGACATGATATTCAAAGAGCGAACTGGTAGCACCATCAGTTATCGAGGTACATACAGACATGTATGTGTCCGTTTCAGCTGAAAGCCATGACATGCAGGCCGGATCTTTATTCTCAGCAGGCCCGTTGGGGCAAAACGCTCACACACTTTCGACGGTATCTCATAGGCTCATGTTGCATGCGAGCCTCGCAATGGGTGCCATTGCCATTCCAACAACTTCTCGCATGGCCTTCTCTGAGCATACGCCGAACGAGGACTCGGCATTTTCGAGAGCCGTAGCCACAAAGAAGAGCAAGAGTAAGCTCAACCAAGAAAAGCACTGTGTATATACCCCCTGCTAACAGCCCGCACATATATTGTGTTTCCACGTCCGGCGTAGGAGTATTCTTGCCCACAGGCTTATTTCCTCCTTTGGCACGTAGCCAAACTCGTCTGAGTGCAATGGCTAGACGACAAGAAGCACATAACCAGCATTCTTAAGTCTATTGATATGAGGCAAGTTCAGGATCGAACGGACCTCAAACCCGGTAAGTGTAGCAGGGGACGCCGTGAGCTGAGATCATTGTCACGGAGAGGTATGCCGAGCAGCAGATGTGCACGCGGTCTCGAGCCAGTGTATCCCATTGAACAGTCCAATGGAAATCATGCCGAGATCTTGAGAAAAGGTGCCCGGGTCCTGGGCCGCCAAAGGTTGCTTTCTCGTCAGTCAATGCTTTTATGCATACGATACGCATCTCACGGCCATTCAAACAGGCTAATTGCCGTCAAATGCAGATATTGCCGGTCGGACACCAGGATCTTGAGCCGCAGGACCTGGCAGCCTCCTAAGGATATGTTCGGGCGGCTGCATCAACATTGATTTGGTACCAAGGGAGCAACAGAGTTGTCATTTCCGTGCCACTGCGTGCCGCTCGCAACCACTCGATAACGTTGTTCTTGATTGGGCCAGGGCAGTTACACACATGTCCCAGAAGACTGTCCTCACATTCAGTACGACGGTGAGATAAAGACAGTCAATTCGAAATCCTAAAAATAGCTCAGCAGACGACATCTCGGTAAACGGTGTCTTGCACGTACAACAACTCATTGTCTGATCTGCTTCTTCTCTGGTTATTTACAAGTTCAGCATCTCTGCTCGAATAATGGGGCACGCAGCAGATGGAATGTTACGGGTATCGTTTGAGGATTTGGACAAAACCTGCAATACTCGCTGTGGGACAGCAGTCCCTCCAACAGCTAGGGCTTACACAGTACAGCCTTCAACATGAGGTTAACGTATGGAACAACCGGCCGGTTTTCCAGGCCCCGGAGCGCCCCTGGACCCCGAATGATGACATAGCGCAGTACATCAACAGATTGGCGTTGCTTCGAAGACGGAGCAGAAATGCATGTGCCCCATTCGCTGTTCCAGAAGAGAAGACAGAAGGAACCCAATGTCTCTGTCACTGGTCTCTTGCGTGGTTTTCAAAAGATAAATTTCCTATGGTCAGTACGCTATGATCATGTGTTTTTCAGTATGTATGTATACTGACTTAGCAAGAGGCAGCTTTAGGAACTTGACGGGGTGCAGAGGACTGTCAGGGTCTCGGGCCGTCTCATGCCTGGTCCGGAACAACGACGCCACTGTCCGGAACTCTTCCCTGAAGGGGAAGCCATGTGCCATCCAACGTCCATGCTCTCATCGACTGGATATTCGGAGGCTAATTGCATTGGGAAAGAATGATGACCGCCAAGTCGCCTGTTCCACAGGAGGGTGTTCACGTCCAGAAAATCTCAGACCGGCCTGTACTGTGGTATGCTTTCCACAGGGGTGGCTGTCACTAGTGTTGGCGGAGGAAGCTGCCTGCTTCTTTTGTGCTCGACAAAATCGACCTTCCAGAATGATTCCGGATCCGAAGATGAGGGGCAAAAGGGACCGATAACTCGCTACCTGAATTTGAATTTGTGCGCGAGCAAGACCCGGAGAGTTGGTTTGCTGCGTCAAATACCACTCTATGGCGATCTTAGCGGTGCTCCCTGCTCATAACAGCAAAGCGATGCTCCTGGACGCTTTGTCCAATATGATCTTCGGCATCAGTCGTTCGAGATTAATTAACTGGCCACTGTGACTTCAGAATGCACACTTTCAGAGTGAAAAAGTAGGTAGTAGGCCACTTCTTTCAAACGTCGACCTCTGACTGACCCATGCATAGGAAGGGTGGATGGTACCCTACGAAGTCTGGAAAGATTGACTTGTGACATTTTCAACGTCCTTCTTGGCTCGCTGAAGTCAATGACCTTCAAAAGACCGGTCACTGGGTCTACCCATTGTGGTGTTGTTTTCAACATCACCAGTTCACCACCGTCAGTCCGTCACAGAGGCATAACGTACAGTGCTTGGCGGCCCCCAAATCCAGTACGCTAATCCCGATCCTGCCCTTCTGGAGGAGCTCCTCATCACTTGGCTTGCCCCATTCGACCCATTATCCGGCACCTACTTGCCGCGTGAGAGATCAAAATTGAGATCCATCTGTTTTCAATAACCAGCTGATCCCAGTCAATAGCACCATTCCTGACGATGACGCTGACTACACGCTGACGAAGAGCCGCTTTTCGCGAGCCCGTTAAAACGACTGTGTCCATATTAAAACGACTGTGTGTACCTAACATGCTGCAAGACGCCTACCGCGGAGGTTAGGGTTAGGGTTAGTTAGTATTAGGGTTAGCGGTTAGGGTTAGTTAGGGTTAGTTAGGGTTAGTTCCGGGGGTGCAGGGGGCCGGCGAGAGGCCCCCGCGTATGAATGAGAATTTTATATTGAGAAGGACGTAGTTTTGAGCTCTGAACGTCGTGGTGTTGGACGACGATTCTAGTTATGATTTTTGGTGGTGATTGTGAGCGCGATAGGTACCACGGACGCCAAGCTTGTGGTAGGCCGCGCCAAGGCCGATGGATTTGTGTGGTCAGGGACAGTCGTTCAACTAGAAGACACAGTCGTTTTAACGGGCCCGGCTTTTCGACACACTCGCTTTTCGGCTTTCTACAACCATACCCCCACGAGTCCAATCCTTGCCCTACTCCATTATAGTATCGGCGCTTGAAATATGGGTTGATATCGATTCGTCCTTATGATAAGTGTAGCATCCGCTAAGCTTGCCCTGAGATGGGGAAGGAAACCGGGAGTGTCCCCATCTCGAAAGTAACTTCATGAGTATGGGGTAGCTGTGGGCATCCGTCTAGGGACGAAAATGAAGGGGAAGCTGTCAGATTCAAGGGTGGTTTTAGCCATACCATATAGAGGCTAGCGCTCCAGCCACCTAATATTGCCTGATTTCTAGGCATATCTGGGTTACCCCAGCACCCCCCATATCTTCTAGGCGAATCAATCACACACACTCTTCAATCAATTAATTTCATACTACCATATCTAATAATTAACAATCTAATTTGTGTATTCATGATTAACGCTATAATTATCGATTATAAGTAATATCCCTACGAAATTAACAACGTTAATTATATTTTTATTAAAAGAATTTACTAATAAGGCTATTACGATTATCCTTAATACCCCTTCCAATTAACCTAATTAATATAAAACTTTTAAAAAAACTCGCTAATAGCAATTAGGACTTTAATAATTAACTACTTAAGGGAGGACTTATAATCTAGAAGGTTCTATCCCTCAAACTAGAAAACTTCTTCTTTACTAAGTAAATAAAGGACCGCCTTCTAACGGTAAAGAAGGAGTTTATTAAATTCAATAGAGGAATCTGGGTTAAAAAGGTCGTAACTACAACCGCAATAATTATTATTACAGCTACTAATATAAATAGTATTGTTACCGATGCTATTATGGCTATCCAATTTTAAAAAGAAGCCGCCGCCAGTGCTAACGAAAATAATAAGGAAGGAAATTTAAGAGAAGAAAACGAAAAAGAAGAAAAAGAGGATAATAAATATTATACTAAATAAAATATTAGGGAGGATATAATTATTAACCCCTCTACCGACCTAATAGCTACTGGGAAAGTAACGTATAATTAAATTATTAATATATATAATATTCACTATAAATATTAAAAAAAACTTTAATAACGCTAATACCCAAATTCGTAATTAAATAAATATTTATATCGCCGCCTACTATACCGATACCTCTTTTAAATAGGATAAATCTACCTGCAATTAATTTAAAAAATTTAAAAATTAAATTAATTATTAACTTATCGACTAA